AGGACTTCAAAACAAATTAATTTGTTAAATGTTGGTTCTATTTTTTTGAGTTAGTCACATTCTATTTGTAGGTATATCATGATGGGATGATCTAAGTTTCATTAGTACTAAAAATCACTTATCTTTTGAATTCTTATTAATGAATTTACTGAAAATTATAAATTATTAAATTGTAAAACAATAAAAAATATTTTTTTTGACTTATTTTTTTTATCCTATATTTTGACCATATATTTTTCCACGTTTTAATGTATGATCGTATTGATATTATATTATCATCATAATCATATCTCGTATCTATACTTTCATAGAATACAACAAGATTATGAAATTTGTCACTCAAGGTTCATGAGCATATTTAACACATGTCAAAGAACTATGCCAGTATAATCTAATATATATTAGAGACAGAGTAATGTTATTGAGATCTAAAAATCTGATTTGATATGTTAACTTAATGATGGGTCTTTATTGTAAACATTAGATTAATATAAAGTTTTAATATTTGATGAGGTTCACGGTCAATCCAATGACTATAATAAATTTGGTTACCAAATTAGATCACAATAGCATTGCTCTTAGAGATGTCTCAATGTAAAGAGTAAATATTGGGAGTACCAGTTACACCACGTTAGGATTATCATGTGGTATGATCGCTCAATAACAACTCAACAGTTAGGCAACATAGACTCCACTCTTTCAAATAACTACTCATCCATGGGAAATGTAGTAATTGTCACGTGTTTAAAAAATAGGGTTCACTTGCTAACTTGTTTGTTTATTATTGAACAGTTATATCACGTGATAATGTTGATATGGTATAACCGTTATACCCGATATTTACTCCAACATAAATCGAGTCTAATAATCTAATGATATATTCTCAGAGTCCAAAAGATTGGGTAGAAGGAAGATTCATTCTCCATCTCGAGAGACAAAGGGNATGCCATCTCAAACTCATGATGTCTTCCGCACACAACGGCCATTCTACTTCAGTGACAAAGTGCTAATCGTGATGACCCGAACAACCCGAGTTTGAATACTAATCTAAGGAAGTGTCATTACAAGAATTAGAATATTTTGAGACTAGTTTTTCACGATAGTTGTACTTATCATAACAAAAAAACGTCTTGTAAAGATTTTTTTTTTTTAACAGTAATTTTCTCATAAAAACTTTATTTACTATTATAAATATTATTTAAAACATACCGTTATTGCCATAAAAATTTTTAATACTCTTCTTAAAATTGAGAGTGTCTCTTGTTTTCATTACGAAAGTTTTGTTAAAATAGGCAAACAAAAGTCACTGTCAAAACACTATGCCATTTTGCCCTTCCATTCTGCCAAAAGCCATTTCTTAAAAGAGATAAAACTTCTTCACCTGATCATGATCATCTTGTTTCATCTTCTTATTGATAATGATTTTGTTATATAAAGTTTTCTCTAGCCAATTCAAAAGTCTCATTAAACAATTATACAAGAGAAAGAACACAATGAATAATTGTACTGGTTGAAAAAGCATATGTACTAGAATATGCTACACCAAGCAGCAGCTTTTTTTTTTTACACCGACACCTTAGAAGGAGCACAAGCATCCTCTGCTAGACGTTTGCTTCGAATATCCCATCTGCGTTTCTTTTTAATTATTATTTTACTTATTTATTGATGTCTAAACTCGAAATTCAATCGCTTAAAGTATATCCATTGTATAATACAATAACACTTATCTCACCAAATGTTTACATTTAAATAAGTTATATATTACATATTTCAAATCAAAAATTTTAATAAATTGATGGGACTTTTCTGAAATACTCTATGATGAAGACACATGTCCTCGGTATTACCAAAACACTGTTGATAAGATCAAGCACCATCGGCGCGCAAAGGTCCTCTCTCCCGAGGTACTCGTCATATAAGATCAAGCATTCAGTATGTTTACAACCGACACGTGGCCTCGGTCTAACATGGTACCTCGGTCGGCATACCTCCCTCGGCTCCGAGATGACCCTTTCCTCGGTGCCGAGAGGTACCCCGTCCTGGACGCTTCCTCTACTCCAGGATAAGCTATTGACGTACAGGTCATTAGCCTAGGCTAGTCTAGGCTATTCATCATGACCTCGTCTTACACAATTAGTGTCAGAATGTACTGGAATGCAGAGGTCACAGCCAATAGGGGATGGACGCGTGGCACATGATATCACATCGAAGACAGACAAACCGCATGTCGTTGCTGACACGCGACTTGGGAAAACAAACTATTAATTACACCATTCCCTTGATGAGACCGCATTCAATGCGGTAAGGCTCGAAAATGAAAGGCAATAAATGCTCCTATTACAGAGCATTTATTGCATCCTCCCCGAGAGGAGTACATTGTACCGTCGGCATCCCGATGACACAGCATTGATTGCTCGGGACCCCGAGCAGTTAAGAAGAGAAGACATTCTTCATCAGAATCAGTGCGCACACTGCCTGTACCAAATGATCAACTACTAACTACATTGACAGCAATCATGAGCTTTTGAGGTATAAATACCCCTTGTAAAAGGCAAGACGGGTATGCAGCAAAAAACTCTTTACTACAATACACACTCAGTGTTTTCTCCTTCCTCTCTCTCTCTCAAAGACTGACTAGATCGTCGGAGGGGATACGCCGGAAAACACTCTGGCGCCCTTCTAACTTGTTCTTCTTTGTTCCAGGAACCCCTTTCAGGCTTACTGGATCGTTCTTCCGCTCCCTCAGGGTCTCCCGTTGCCGTTCCAGGTTACCACCGGACGTCGCAGGCTGTTCCAAGCAGCGTGGTTGGTCACTCAACTGGCTCACTCGAAGTTCACCAGGGGAGAGATCTGTTCTCGTTTTTTATATTGTGCAGGATCTTGCACGCACATAAATTATTTTATTATATTTGGAATACCACTGACAACATTTTCTTAATGACTATTTTTTCATATGGGTCACGTAATTTTTGTTGTTTTAAGACAAGTAGATGGAGAATGATGCCAAGGAGGACCAATTATCCCTCTCTTCTATATAGATATTTGTAGATATATAATGTACTGAGGGTAACTCGTGTCTGTAAACACCGTGAAATGTGAATAGTTTTGAGAGAGATGTTGGTGACCGTTGAATGAGTTTATTTGATACTGTTGAATAAATTTATTAAAATCTAACATGTTTTATATTATAGATATTATTTGATTGAATCTATGAATGTTATAGCATGGAGGTTTTTGATTATGATGGTGAAAGAGAAAGAGAGACATAACTCTCGACCTTTTATTCCATTCTCAAAACAAAACGAATTAAAGTCACCCCTCAATCCCCGCCCCTACCTCTTCGTTCTTATCTCAATTTAGGTTTTGATTTTCAAATTATGATTTGCTCACGTGTTAATTTATGTCTGAATTTAGACTGTGGGAATCAAGTTAATTTTATGTAGGGAAAGAGCTGTGCAAAAAGATGATTCTTGTTTCTTCCAAAGATCATCGAAATATAAAGATACGTTCTTCTTCAAATATTCACCAAAGTAAGATAATGTGAAGCACGAATACTAAACCATTTAGGTGAATAACGTATCACTACTTAATAAACTGTATTCGTATTGTAGGGGATTTGATAGATCCAAATTAGATATGCACTAAACCTATCTCTACTATTTCCCCTCGAATTTATATACAACTATATACATAAAAAAAAGAAGAAGAAGAAGAAGAAGAAGAAGCTATATCACTTTGACGAGTGCTTGTGTAGTATTATCTATTACATATCAAAATGACATAATCTTAGTTAATTTTGCCCTATCAATTTGCTAACAAGGACTTCAAAACAAATTAATTTGTTAAATGTTGGTTCTATTTTTTTGAGTTAGTCACATTCTATTTGTAGGTATATCATGATGGGATGATCTAAGTTTCATTAGTACTAAAAATCACTTATCTTTTGAATTCTTATTAATGAATTTACTGAAAATTATAAATTATTAAATTGTAAAACAATAAAAAATATTTTTTTTGACTTATTTTTTTTATCCTATATTTTGACCATATATTTTTCCACGTTTTAATGTATGATCGTATTGATATTATATTATCATCATAATCATATCTCGTATCTATACTTTCATAGAATACAACAAGATTATGAAATTTGTCACTCAAGGTTCATGAGCATATTTAACACATGTCAAAGAACTATGCCAGTATAATCTAATATATATTAGAGACAGAGTAATGTTATTGAGATCTAAAAATCTGATTTGATATGTTAACTTAATGATGGGTCTTTATTGTAAACATTAGATTAATATAAAGTTTTAATATTTGATGAGGTTCACGGTCAATCCAATGACTATAATAAATTTGGTTACCAAATTAGATCACAATAGCATTGCTCTTAGAGATGTCTCAATGTAAAGAGTAAATATTGGGAGTACCAGTTACACCACGTTAGGATTATCATGTGGTATGATCGCTCAATAACAACTCAACAGTTAGGCAACATAGACTCCACTCTTTCAAATAACTACTCATCCATGGGAAATGTAGTAATTGTCACGTGTTTAAAAAATAGGGTTCACTTGCTAACTTGTTTGTTTATTATTGAACAGTTATATCACGTGATAATGTTGATATGGTATAACCGTTATACCCGATATTTACTCCAACATAAATCGAGTCTAATAATCTAATGATATATTCTCAGAGTCCAAAAGATTGGGTAGAAGGAAGATTCATTCTCCATCTCGAGAGACAAAGGGGTAATTGCAAGCCACAACACAGTTAGTCACATATATAGGAAGAATACAAAGACTTGAGTGTCCACTTATTTAACTTTATTATCTCAACTCTCCTAGTGCCATGGTTGAGAATACATTCACATATAGTACAGAGATTCTGACTTCTCAGTACAACCCTAAAAACAAACACATTGAAGTAGGAATTGCATAACGATGGACACTTGTCAAAATTTATTTGTGGAGTCCTAATTTAAACATTGATCAACCAATGTAGAACATCGGATTCGGCACCTTGAAAGTCCGATTACCAACGTTGTTACCAAGTAAATCACTCCACTGATCTCCCATGTTTCCCCATATTCTGTATCCCGCTTCTTCAAGTTCTTTGCGTTTGTTGGATTTGTACACCAATGCTGTGGTACCTTTTTCAGAGTCTTTCCTACACTCAGTTAACACCATTAAGATTCAAGGATTATGACCAAATTTTCAAATGGTAAACTAAAATTAGAAAGAGAGATAATACAATAAAGCTCAAACCCGCTCACCGCACCGGGCATGCAAGAAAACTCTTCAAATGGGATATAGCTAATTAAGCAAATAAAACTAAGTACTACGGTGTCTACAAAAGTAACCTGAAAGTATATTTTTTTATTTTACTCGTATATAAACTAATTTTTGATCATGAATAAATCAGTCAAACCAATGTTTAAATTAAAAAATAAAAGCTTGATGGATTGTATCTGGTCATTTGTACCTTACAAATTAAAGAGAAGAATGCTTACTTAAGTATGAGCTTTTCCCAGGTATGATAACCAGATCCTTTTAAATTGGAAATTCTTATATCTTTAATTCTCTCTGCTGATCCGGAGAGGAAGACAATCTTAAACCCTAAAGACAATAATTTCTCGTAAAATTTATGAACCGCTGGTATTGCTGGTGCTATTCCTTCAGCTAGCCACTCGTCGAACTTTGTGTCATTAAATGCTATTGCCCTAAAACCACAAAAAGAGTATAACAAAGAAGCAACATTAACCGCATTAAAAATTGAAAATAACAACATAAATTCTTGTGGGGTTAGCACACTAACTAGAGGACCCGTTTTTTTCTGATAATTTTTGTGTTCAGAGTAATTTGATTATATCTAAAATCCGAAAAAAATTTTAGTACTCACCAAAAAATACTTGGCCGTGCCATGTGGTGCACAACTGTCACTTATATATAAAATATTATATATTCACAATCAATTGTTATCACTACTGAAATTGTCAAAAAAAAAAAAAATGAAAAATAAACATGTTTATTTGATAAGCAAGTGCGGTAATATTTTTTTTTGTAGGGCGTGAGCACCACTTGACGGTATCACGTGATGATGAGCACCGAATATATGTTCCTGAAATCCAGGGAGGATAATACATCATTGTAGTTTATTTTTTAAACTTAATTAACCAAATATCATAAACTACCATCTTTTTTAATAAAAGGTACAATTTTTACTCATGTTTCTCGGTGTAAAAACATGGTTTGTGTTAGAGTATTTTACCTAAAAGAATATTTTTTATGTAAAAATTTAATTTCACATCGACTAAATATTTAAAAATATGAGTGTATCAAAAAAAATTTATAAATTTTTTTGTTAGATATAAAAGGCCATCTCTCTTTTACACCTGTGTTTGTCCTGTCTCTCTCTCCCTCCCTCCCTCCCTCTCTTTATGCCAACGACGAAGAAAAAGCCGAAGCCATCGTCATCGCCATCAGCAACCGCTGCGAAGCCATTGCTATTGCCAATCACTCCATTTTTTCAAGGTCCCTCTCTCTCTCTCCCATCTCTGAAGCTGGGTTTCTGGTTTGGGTGGTGGACTTTGCTGGGGAGTTTTAGGGGTGGGTAGTGGATAGTGGGTTTCGGTGGTTGTGGTAGTGGGGGTGGGTTGTGGTTTTTGATAGTGGGAGTTGGATTGGGGGTGGGTTTCAGTGGTGGTGGGTTGGGTTTTGGTGGTGGTTTTGGGAGGTCAGTAGGATTGGGTGGTAGGATTGGACGGTGAATTTTTGGTATAATACCAAACATATTTTTTATTTTTGTTTTTATAATTTTTTAAATATAAAATACTATTAAATATGTTTTATATTTTTATCAAAAAAAAAATAAAACTTAGTACTATTTTTTTATATAAAAAAAATATAAAAATAAAAAAGTTACCAAATACACGCCCTTAGACTATAATTTTATACAAACAGACATAATTTTGTTAAAGAAGGTGGGAGAGTGAGATAATAAAGTTCAAAAATTACACCATATATTATAAAGTCATGGCCCTCACCCGAATCCAACATCAGACCGAGCATAGTAAGGCAAATCAGAGAGTGAAGTTTCGTCAATGTCAAAAACCCAAACGTCCTTGCCATCTCCAACGAGCTCGACGCTCTCGGCGTACTCCAGAGCAATCTCTGCCATTTTATCGCAATCGNATAGCTAATTAAGCAAATAAAACTAAGTACTACGGTGTCTACAAAAGTAACCTGAAAAAATATTTTTTTATTTTACTCGTGNATAGCTAATTAAGCAAATAAAACTAAGTACTACGGTGTCTACAAAAGTAACCTGAAAGTATATTTTTTTATTTTACTCGTATATAAACTAATTTTTGATCATGAATAAATCAGTCAAACCAATGTTTAAATTAAAAAATAAAAGCTTGATGGATTGTATCTGGTCATTTGTACCTTACAAATTAAAGAGAAGAATGCTTACTTAAGTATGAGCTTTTCCCAGGTATGATAACCAGATCCTTTTAAATTGGAAATTCTTATATCTTTAATTCTCTCTGCTGATCCGGAGAGGAAGACAATCTTAAACCCTAAAGACAATAATTTCTCGTAAAATTTATGAACCGCTGGTATTGCTGGTGCTATTCNGCTTGATGGATTGTATCTGGTCATTTGTACCTTACAAATTAAAGAGAAGAATGCTTATTTAAGTATGAACTTTTCCCAGGTATGATAACCAGATCCTTTTAAATTGGAAATTCTTATATCTTTAATTCTCTCTGCTGATCCGGAAAAGAAGACAATCTTAAACCCTAAAGACAATAATTTCTCGTAAAATTTATGAACCGCTGGTATTGCTGGTGCAATTGNTTCTCTCTGCTGATCCGGAGAGGAAGACAATCTTAAACCCTAAAGACAATAATTTCTCGTAAAATTTATGAACCGCTGGTATTGCTGGTGCTATTCCTTCAGCTAGCCACTCGTCGAACTTTGTGTCATTAAATGCTATTGCCCTAAAACCACAAAAAGAGTATAACAAAGAAGCAACATTAACCGCATTAAAAATTGAAAATAACAACATAAATTCTTGTGGGGTTAGCACACTAACTAGAGGACCCGTTTTTTTCTGATAATTTTTGTGTTCAGAGTAATTTGATTATATCTAAAATCCGAAAAAAATTTTAGTACTCACCAAAAAATACTTGGCCGTGCCATGTGGTGCACAACTGTCACTTATATATAAAATATTATATATTCACAATCAATTGTTATCACTACTGAAATTGTCAAAAAAAAAATGAAAAATAAACATGTTTATTTGATAAGCAAGTGCGGTAATATTTTTTTTGTAGGGCGTGAGCACCACTTGACGGTATCACGTGATGATGAGCACCGAATATATGTTCCTGAAATCCAGGGAGGATAATACATCATTGTAGTTTATTTTTAAACTTAATTAACCAAATATCATAAACTACCATCTTTTTTAATAAAAGGTACAATTTTTACCGAAGCCATCGTCATCGCCATCAGCAACCACTGCGAAGCCATTGCTATTGCCAATCACTCCATTTTTTCAAGGTCCCTCTCTCTCTCTCCCATCTCTGAAGGTGGGTTTCTGGTTTGGGTGGTGGACTTTGCTGGGGAGTTTTAGGGGTGGGTAGTGGATAGTGGGTTTCGGTGATTGTGGTAGTGGGGGTGGGTTGTAGTTTTTGATAGTGGGAGTTGGATTGGGGGTGGGTTTCAGCGGTGGTGGGTTGGGTTTTGGTGGTGGTTTTGGGAGGTCAGTAGGATTGGACGGTGAATTTTTGGTATAATATCAAACATATTTTTTATTTTTGTTTTTATAATTTTTTAAATATAAAAGACTACTAAATATGTTTTATATTTTTATCAAAAAAAAATAAAACTTAGTACTATTTTTTTATATAAAAACATTACCAAATACACAGACTATAATTTTATATAAACAAACATAATTTTGTTAAAGAAGGCGGGAGAGTGAGATAATAAAGTTCAAAAATTACACCATATTATAAAGTCATGGCCCTCACCCGAATCCAACATCAGACCGAGCATAGTAACCCAAACGTCCTTGCCATCTCCAACGAGCCCGACGCTCTCGGCGTACTCCAGAGCAATCTCTGCCATTTTATCGCAATCGTCCCGGTACTGTTTGCCGAGCATGTAGTGACCAACATAGTTTTCACATTCTTCTGGGACCAATTTCCATTGACGGAGATTGTTGGTTTCTACAGCCAAACGCCAGCTTAGGCAGTCGATGCCCGGAATCCGGTGACCGCCAGCACCGGAATATGACCTGAGAAGGAGAATTGGGTTTGGGGTTGACATTGTTTGGGAAGTTGCTGCCATGGCAACCAGAAAGAAAAATAGTATTGTCACTTCCATATTTTCCTTCCTTAGCTAGCACAATGACGTGGGAAGTTGGGTAAAAAATGTAAATGTCCACGTTGCTTAAATAATCATTGGCCTGCCAAAGTGACCTTCTATCTGCACTAAATTACTACCAAAACCTTTTTTTGTCTGGTATTAATTTTTTTTTTTTTTTTTTGGTACATAGGAAAGCGCCTGGAGACTATTTCGGTAGGATCTCAATAGTAGAATCATGAGATTTTTGACCACATTTATTGCTCTTTTTGGGAATGTATCTATCTAAGTTAACATAGCGATCAACCACTGAACCCTAATGTAAACTCTAAGACTCAAACCTCTAATATTAGGACGAGAAATTCAATCGATACCCTACTAGACCACCTCACTCGTTGATGCCTCGTTTTGCAATTTGCAAGCAACATTCAAGAATAAATTCCTAACTCCACTCCTATCCATGACAAGATAAAAAAAAATGTTGTATTAAATCTGGAGTATGCTCTTAAATCTGATATGATTTTTGAGATGATTTCAATTGATTTTCAACATAGTTCATTATTGTCATTGCATTTCAATGGGCACACCCAAAACTTGCCAGGTTTTTCACATGTTGATAGTGACCCTTACATTTTCATTTTACTTAGAGGAAATCTCACTTTATACCTCAAAAGATTTAAGTTTTTTTTATTTTGCACCTTTAAATATTAGTTTTTCAATGTTATACTCTCAATATATTAAAATTATTGTTATTTGGCCCTTATGTTGTCTTTCGTTGCTTATTTCGTCAAAACTCACCATATTAAAATTAACGAAATAAGTAACAAAAATTAACAGAACGGTCACATTATAATATTTTTTATACATTAAAGAGTGCAACGTAAAAAATCTAATCTTTAAAAGTATAAAGCAAAAATTTTAAAAAATTTTAGGATACAAAATACAATTGCCATTTTACTTCAACAATGAGTTAAATATATAATTTGACGTCCGGTCACACTAAATTGTACCTTTTGATATTATACATTTAGTTTTCATTAAATAAAATATATCACGTATAAAATATTTAAATTTTAATATTTATGGTATTTTAAGATTTTATCAATTGTTGCAAATTATATAAATCAAAGCCAATGATATGAATTAATTTTTGGCACGATATCCCCTTTATCTTTGCATGCAATAGTCGTGACTATGTTTAGTATGCGGGATTAAATCTTAGGAATGGATATGCATTCCTTGGTAATGTTTATTTCTATGTTTGGTTGGCAGAAATTAAAATTCCATAAATAATGGGATTAGACATTATTAAATTTATCATGATATTTCTCATTCCATTCCCACCCCCAGGTATGCCAAATCCATTCAAAAAAAAAATTATGTTCTTTCCCTTCCCGATTGTCGGCTCTTGCTGCTGACACCTTGCTCTGCTCGAATCTCTCTTTTCTTCTTCTTTCCTCACATTTTCTGTTCCTCCTAAATTACGCCCATGGCGCCTCACCCCTTTCCTCATCCCTTACCCATCATTTTTTGTCTCTCCCTCATCTCTCTACGAAGAAAAGGGCAACCTACATTTACTCATATCCAATTAATCTTAGGTAACTTTTTGTTAAATTTAGTCAATAAATTTCAATTCCAACTTCCAATTTTGTACAACGATTGAGAAGCAGTAGAATGTGACATGAGAATTCTAAAAGTAATTTAAGTGATAACAAATACGATTTGTAAATTCAGACGTTTTGAAGTTGAATTTTGGAAGTCTCTTGGGGTCAGGTCATGAGTGATTTATCCCTCATGAATATTTTAGTCTCGGTGTAAATAACTTGTCTTTGATTGAACTAAAAAAAAAATTAATCGAGTTACCAGTAAGATACTCCGAACACCCTAACCCTTGAAACATTTAAAAAAAAAGAGAAAGAGAGAGAGAGAGAAGTGGCATCAGAGACACCAAGTAGGGTGTGGGGATCAAACACCTTTATTCTAGACGTCTCCGATTGTGGGCATTTTCTGACCCCCAAAAAAAAAAAAAAAAAGTACCATGTACATTTGGGTCCGCTCAAAATAATTTGATGTCTAAAGCGACAACTTTACAGTAGGCCTTAATTAACACTTATTTTAAAAAAATTCTAATGTATTTTTTTTTAGTTGTGGTGTGACTAATCTACTTAATTATTTTTGTGACTTAGTCGGTCTTCGTTAAAATTTTATCAAATTTTTTTGAAAGAAAACAATAATTTAAATAGAAATAATGTACAAAATGATCATGATTGCAAATTTATTTCGTATTGCCAATAATGTCAATACTTCTGAAAAATGATATAATCTTCATATTTAATTCAATAGATTAGTCAACAAAATATGATGAGTACCCAAAAAATAAATGCACACCCAAAAAGAACGGTTTGACGTGAGCTTTTAGGGTGTATTTAGTAATGTTTTTGTTTTTATATTTTTTTTTTATAAAAAACAGAACTAAGTATTTTTTTTTTTGTGATAAAAATTAAAATTATAAAATATACTTGGTAGTCATTTACATTTAAAAAATTGTGAAAACAAAATTAAGAAACCCGTTTGGTATTATTCCAAAAATCCACCACCAAAAACCATCACCAACCACCTACCACCACCACCGAAACCCATACCCCCACAACCCTTCCCCTAAAATTCACCACCACCCAAACCCAACCCCTCTGTGAAACCCGTCGCCCCCCCCCCCCCCCCAACACCCCCCCCCCCCCCCC